CCAATAAAGTGGTAAGAATTTGGCAATTTGGCCAATTTTACACAAATTAAAAAATATGCCAATTTCAAAATAGGGTCCAGAATGAACAATGCAGACATTCCTGGCTCTAAGATAACATTTTCTTTGTTCATCAGTCATGTCTCCAGGCCCCTCTGATATTACTCTTGCTTTCTATTTTGAATTTTTATTCAAACAAAAAATAGAAGATTTACTGTTATGCAGACTACTGCAATATTGTAATAATTGTATAAATAACATCAACCCATTCATGACTGCATATTAGAATGGCTAGTTGGACATTTATTGGACAGTGACATCATTTGTTTACTCTTGAACATTGGCAAAAGTCAAACATATCCCCTACTTTGAGCTCCATTTCAAGGTCCTTTTCATAGTAAAATCAATCAAAATCACCTCTATTTCTATAATCTGTTTTCCATTCTATCAAGGGGGACCAAGAAAACGAGAATATAACCATAAAAACCATATGAAAATACACCTCAAAGCCGCCATTTTAATATAAAAACACAGTTGGAGTTTTTTTTTCTCACTATGCACTGCATGCTGCAGGATTTTTTTATACAGTGCATACTGACCACACAGACCCATTCTCTCACGTGTGGGCCTACCAGCTTTCTCCTGCTTGATTTGAAGCTGCTAGAATTTTTGAGTATATATATGTGTATATGTCAAACACATTGGCTCATAAGATGTATATATATGACCGAAACAGTCAAAGAGTTGAACAAAATAATTTTTTCACATGAAATATACATTTTCCTACACAGAAAACAATGAGACATGCAGAATAAACAATACTAAAATGGCACTTATCTTTATTGAAGACAATGATGAGTGATGAGACGGGAGGAAGGGAGAGGATGGAGGTGTATTATTGTTTGGAAGGAGAATCCCCTTCCATAAAGATTTCAGGTAGCAAGTCCTTTTCAGGGGTTAATTCCCTTCTTTGTTTTTTAACCCTTTCAGGGTTTCGGACGTACTAGTACGGCTTACGCACCAGGGTTTTTGGCGTACTAGTATGCCTAAATTCTAGCGCCCTCAAATCTAATGAGAGAAAGCTGGTAGGCCTACATATGAAAGAATGGGTCTATGTGGTCAGTGTGCGTAGTATAAAAAAAATCCTGCAGCACACAGTGCGTAATGAGAAAAAAAAAATTTGACCGTGTTTTTGGATTAAAACAGCGACTTTGCACTGTATTTTTGTATGGTATTTATTGTTGTATTCTAGTTTTCCTGGTCTCATTTTATAGAATGGAAAACATATTACAGAAATTGAGATGATTTTTACTGGTTTTACAATATAAAGTATACCTTGAAATTGAGCTCAAAATAGCAGAAATGTTCGATTTTTACCAAAGTTCAAAAGTAAACAAATCATACTAAGCATCCAATACACATCAACTGGTGAGTCTAATATTCTTTCACAAATGCGCTGATATTATTTATACCATTTCTACACTAATAAGTGGAAAGCAAAAGAATGTAAGAGGGGCTTGGGGACGTGACTAATAAACAGAGGAAATGCCATTTTAGTGCCAGGAATGTCTTTCTTGTTTATTCTGGACCCTATTTGGAAATTGGCATCTTTTGAAATTTGTGTGAAATTGGCAAAATTGCTAAATTCTGACCACCGTATTGGATAGTTGAAATCGGTACATAGGTGGTTTCTTGTACTCATTCGATAGAAAAAATGGAGTTCTAGCAAAATAGTTATGATTTTTGTCGACTAGTACACTGGAATTGGCCGAAAATAGGGCTCAAAGTAGGCAAAATCGCTGATGCGTAAACATCGTTGAGACCGCTAACTTCGCAAGAGCATAATTCCGTAAGTTTTCCATCAAATTTCATACTTTTGGTGTCATTATGATCGGGAAAAGATTCTCTATCTTTTCATAAGAAAAATAATTTTTTTTTTTTAAATTTGGGCGACCCTGAGAACAAGTCTGGGAGAGGGCCTGGGGACCCTGAAAGGGTTAATGGCACTAGGATCAACTTGAGAGTCACTGGACCCTTGTCACACCAAAAATCTGTCCAGAGAGCTCTGTTTCTGGTATCTGTTTAAGATTTCCCTAAAATGAGACACAACATTGTCATTGTAGATGTTGCCAGCACGGCTTGCAACAGCTGTGTCAGTGATGTTCATCCATAAAGGTTTGCACTACAATCCACTTTGCACAAATGTCCTTAATCTTTGAAGAGGGCAACTTCCTCCATCTCTCTTCCTCCTCGTCCTCTGAAGGAAATTCCTGAGCTGTGATCTATTGCTGTTTCACCTCAAGCTCTTGCAGCTCTGTAGTGGTTAGCTCTTTATCGTCGTCCTCCACCAACTCTTCCACATCCTCACCACTAACCTCCAACTCCAAGGACTTCCCCAGTGCCACAGTAGATTCCACAACTGGCATAGGCTCCTCAGGGTCAGTCCCAAACCCTTCAAAATCCCTCTCTTGTACAAATTCTGGCCACAATTTTCTCCAAGCAGAGTTCAAAGTCCTTAAAGTCACTCCATCCCAAGCCTTACCTATAAGGTTTATGCAACTAAAGATATTGAAGTGATCTTTTCAGAACTCTCTAAGGGTCAATTCAGTGCCTGAGGTCACTTCAAAGCTCTTTTGAAACACTGCATTGGTATACAGTTTTTTGAAATTTGAAATGAACTGCTGGTCCATGGGCTGGAGGAGAGGAGTGGTGTTAGGAGGCAAAAACTTGACTTTTATGAAACTAAACTCTGGCACCATTCACTCTTCCAAGTCTGGAGGATGAGCAGGAGCATTGTCTAATACCAGGAGGCACTTGAGTTCCAATTTATTTTCCAGGAGGAATTTTTTCACAGTGGGGCCAAACACGTCATGGAACCAATCATAGAATATGTCCCTCGTGACCCATGCCTTACTGTTTGCTCTCCACATCACACACAATTTAGTCTTGATGACACTGTTTTTCTTGAACACACTGGGAGTTTCAGAGTGATACATGAGTAAAGGCTTCACTCTGCAATCCCCACTAGCATTATTACAAAACATGAGAGTTAGCCTGCCTTTCATTGGCTTGTATCCTGGGAGTGCCTTTTCCTCCTGAGTAATGTAGGTCCTGTTTGGCATTTTTTTTCCAAAACAGGCCTGTTTCATCACAATTGAACACTTGTTGGGGTTTTAATTGTTCAGCCTCTATGTACCCCTTAAATTCCTGCACTTATTTTTCAGCTGCTTTTTGTCAGAACTGGCAGCCTCACCATGCCTTATCACACCATGTATGCCACTACGATTCTTAAATCTCTCAAACCAGCCTTTGCTGGCCTTAAATTCATCAGTATCAGCACTAGTTTCAGGCATTTTCTTTACGAAATCACTATGCAACTGCCTTGCCTGTTCACACATAATTGACTGCGAAACACTATCTCCTGATAATTGTTTCTCGTTGATCCACACCAATAACAATCTCTCCACGTCTTCGAGTATTTGCGATCTCTGTTTTGTAAGCTACTCAGGCTGCGCAGACACGTTCGGGACGAATGATTTTAACCGAGTTCTTTGTCATTAACCGAGCCAATATTTTGACACAAAAACTTTACTTAATCCGAATTTTACGTAATCTGATGACGACGTAATCCGGGGGTCCACTGTGTGAAAGGATCAAAACTTGTCAGTGCCCTACTTTCATACATAAGGAGGATTACCAACAGACCCATGGCTGTCTTCAAGAAGAAACGAGATAAATTTCTTAAATTAGTGCCTGATCAGGCTGTGGACTTCATGCATCTAGCACCAAGTCTGATTGAGCAGGCTGTCCACTGGGAGACCTGGCCTAGGATGAATTTGTGGGGCATTAACCCTCAGAACACTTGCAGGTAGTGGAGGGATGTCATGTGGGGTGCCATAAAGATCTCTTCCTACCCCAGTAATCTCTTTAGTTATATCAATAATTTACCAGAAGGAATGCAAAAAATATATGAATGTTTGCAGATGATGCAAGAAATATATGTAAAACAGATAGCAAGAACAGCTGTAGATCACTACAAGATGATTTAGCTAAATGATTGACTTTAATGTAGATAAATGCCATTTAACAAAAATGGAAAAGAGTGATATCATGCTACATGAGGAGTATAGTGCATAACAAAATACTAAAAGAATCAGACAGAGGGAGGGACCTAGGGGTTATTATTACCAAAAACTGTCACTAGAAGACCATTTAGACAAATTTGTGAGATACTTGATTGGTACCCTGTTTAATTTTGAATAAGTTGTCAAATATACGGATGGAGCAATGCTGAAAAAAAAGGCTGTTTACAACATATATTTGACCAGAATTGAAATATGCAATGGTTATATGGTGTTGACACCTAGAAGATAGAAAATGTACAAAGAAGAGCTATTATATGAATACCAAAGTTAAAAAATATTAGTTGTGAGGAAAAACTGAGAACACTTAAGAGGCCACATTGGCTGTTAAGAGGAAAAGATAAGACATGATAACCAAATGCAAGTTCATAAAAGTCAATGAAAAGGAATGCTTCAACATAAACTGCCTGCCTACTACTGGAAACAGACCAGGAGGTACATACCCCACAAACCTTAGGACACAGACTATATTTATGACTATTCAATACCAAGTCATTTTTCAATGTCAAGAAACAAAAAACAAAAAATGTAAAGAAATGTATATAAAGAAGAGTCTAAGGACTACCTGCAGCAGGGATAACGAGAGGCCACAGATGAAAATTGAGGAAAAATTGAAGCTGGAGGAGTTTTGGAAAATTTTCCTTAACAAATTGAGTAGTTGACCAATAGAATAATTGAAAAGAGGAGGTAGTGTTACAACAATTGAAAATTTAAAAAAATTATATGATGAAAATTAATATAATAAAGATGGGACACCATAAGCATAGTTCTGCTCCTGTAGCTACAAATAAGTAATAACAGCATTATATACATCTTATATACAGTGCTCCTTTTAATGCTGTATGTATTTCATACTAACAGAAAAGCAAGTTTTGCTAATGCGGTGACCATCAGCGAGCGCCCCCTGCAGCCTGGGGAGATCTTTCTGGTAGAGATAGAGAAGACTGAGCCAGGCTGGACAGGTCACATGAGGCTGGGACTGACGCAGCTCAACCCAGCCAACCCAGGACTACCAGAGTTGCCCCCATACTCTCTACCTGATATGACCAACATGGGTAGCAGGCATACTCTTGTTCTACTTTAATTAAATTTTTTTCAAGGGAATTGTCTTTTGAAGTTTAACTAGATACTCCTCAACCCATATATGGAACAGTAGATGAATATTTTATTATAGTAATGTGATTTAAATTACATAAATAATTTCAAAGTTATGTGCTTCTCTAATATTAAGAAATGTTAATTAATTTAAATCTTGCAGAAAACTCTTGGATCTGTGCTATCACAAAGAGCCACAACCGTGTTCAGTTAGATACAGAAGGAGAGGCTGAAGGAGAAGAGGTGGCTATAGAAGTGCGAGGAACAGACATCACTAGAGAACAAGGGGAAGACATTCAGAGGTCAGAGGTTAGGGAAGAAGTGGTGAGGACACCAACAGAAAACATTCACACACATGAGAGAAGTGCCTCTGATATGGCTGGGCATGATGGAGCCAAAGGTGATTCCTTTGGGGTGTTTAGAATAAGAAATAGAAGGAGAGGGGCTGCAAGCAGTGGAGGTCTGCGAGGTTTGGATTCCATAGTTGTTGGTGAGCACCTGCAGACTTCACGTGGTTTGGTGCCAAAGTCGCTCTTACAGCCTACATCTTATGACTTCACTGCTCCCTCTGGTCAAAAAATAACACTCAAGAGAGACAATATTCTACCTACTGATGAGGGCAGTAGGATCGGTATCATCTATTTACCTAGAGTAAGTATTTTGAAAGGGAGAGTAATTTCTGAAATGGAAAGACAAGGTGCAGTGCCTGCACTCCAAGGGAGTGGTGGGAACATTGTGGTCAGAGGGAAATCTGAACTATGATGTGAGCACACTTATTGAAAAAGAACAATTGAATGAATGATGGTGAATGTGTTTGCTTTTTTGGGTTGCCCTACCTTGGTGGGAGATGGCCGTTGAGGTGAAAAATAATTGGTGCATTTCTTTTTTTTCACTCATGGGCCATCTCCTGCCAAGGTGAGGTGTCCCAGTGAATAAAACATTTCATCATAGTTTATTATTATAATTTTTTTTTAAACACAATGATCGTTGCTCACCAAGGCAGGGGACCCAAAAAAAGAAAAAATGTGAAGTCTTCTTTTTACATTTAGCAATTTATACAGGATTGTGTGTGGCATTTTAGTCACCTCTTATGACACTCATGGCTTTTGGAAGAGGATTCTTCTCTACTTCCCCATGGAGATGATTATTATTATTATAATTTATTATTATTACTATTATTATTTTTATATTAACACACTGGCCATTTCCCATCAAGGCAGGGTGACCTGAAAGAGAAGAAACACTTTCATCATTACTCACTCCATCACTATCTTGCCAGAGATGTGCTGACACTCAGTTCAAACACTGCATTATACCTCCACTCCTTCAGAGTGCAGGCACTGTACTTTCTACCTCCATTCCTTCAGAGTGCAGGCACTGTACTTTTCACCTCCACTCCTTCAGAATGCAGGCACTGTACTTTCTACCTCCACTCCTTTACAATGCAGGCACTGTACTTTCCACCTCCACTCCTTCAGAGTGCAGGCACTGTACTTTTCATCTCCACTCCTTTACAGTGCAGGCACTGTACTTTCCACCTCCAGGCCTTGAGTCCAGCTACCTGGTTTCCCTGAATCCCTTCATAAATGTTATTTTGCTCGCTCTCCAACAGCATGACAAGTCATATAAACCATTTGTCCCTACTCGCTTCTATCTAACACCTTCGTGCACACTGGAAATCTTAGCCCCTTGCACACAAAACCTCCTATACCCTTTTTTAACTAGTGAATACACTTCGATTAACTGTAAGAGATGGATCTTCTTTCAACAAACTGGCCGTGTCCCACCAAGGCGGGGTGGCCGAAAAGGAAAAACGAAAGTTTCTCCTTTTACATTTAGTAATATATACAGGAGAAGGGGTTACTAGCCCCTTGCTCCTGGCATTTTAGTCGCCTCTTACAACACTCATTGCTTACGGAGGAAGAATTCTGTTCCACTTCCCCATGGAGATAAGAGGAAATAAACAAGAACACGAACTAGTAAGAAAATAGAAGAAAACCCAGAAGGGTGTGTATATAATGTTTTTTAAAAATTTGGGTATGGACCTAATGAAGGGGAAAATACCAAGACGTCCTGAAATCTTGCAAGTTTAAGAGACAGAAAAAAGACAACAGCAATCCTACCATCATGTAAAACAATTACAGGAATCCGTTTTACACTCGCTTGGAAGGACGGTAGTACCTCCCTGGGCAATTGCCTGTCTACCCCTACTCCCTCTAGCTATATATATACGGGACCCCCGCATACGATACCCCAAATGGCCAATTAGTAAGTGTATTATGAAAAGTGCGTTTGTAGGTTTTGTTGGGGGGTTGAAATGGAAAATCTACTTACAATATTTTAGGGGAAACAAATTCGGCAGTACGGCACCTAACAACTTTGGATGAAAAAAATGTTAACCGGGGTTACGTATTATATATTTCTTTCTTCAACACACGGCTGTACCCCCCCAGGGGGTGGCCAAAACGAAACGAAAGTTTCTCTTTTAATTTAGAATAATACAAAGGGGGTTATAACCCCTTGCAAATAAAACATTTTTTTTTTTTTCAACAAGTCGGTCGCTCCCCCCGAGGCAGGGGGACCCAAAAAAGAAAGAAAATCCCCAAAAAAAAAATACTTTCATCATCATTCAACACTTTCACCACACTCACACATTATCACTGCTTTTGCAGAGGTGCCCAGAATACAACAGCTTAGAAGCATATACGTATAAGATACACAACATGTCCCTCCAAACTGCCAATATCCCAAACCACTCCTTTAAGTGCAGGCATTGTACTTCCCTTTTCCAGGACTCAAGTCCGACTATATGAAAATAACCGGTTTCCCTGAATCCCTTCACTAAATATTACCCTGCTCACACTCCAACAGATCGTCAGGTCCCAAGTATCATTCGTCTCCATTCACTCCTATCTAACACGCTCATGCACGCTAAATATTATATATATATATATACATATATGTATATATATATATATATATATATATAAAATATATATAATATATATATAATTTGGCAGTTTGGAGGATATGTTGTGTATCTCTATACGTATATGCTTCTAAACTGTTGTATTCTGAGCACCTCTGCAAAAGCAGTGATAATGTGTGAGGTGGTGAAAGTGTTGAATGATGATGAAAGTATTTTTTTTTTGGGGGATTTTCTTTCTTTTTTTTGGGTCACCCTGCCTCGGTGGGAGACGACCGACTTGTTGAAAAAAAAAAATATATATATATATTTTATATATATATATATATATATATATATATATATATATATATATATATATAATATATATATATATATATATATATATAATATATATAATATATATATATATATATATATATATATATATATATATATATTATATATATATATATATTATATATATATATATATATATATATAAGTGCGTTTGTACGTGTATGTTTGGGGGTCTGAAATGGACTAATCTACTTCACAATATTCCTTATGGGAAAAAATTCGGTCAGTACTGGCACCTGAACATACTACTGGAATGAAAAAAGTTCGTTAACCGGGGGTCCACTGTATATATATATATATATATATATATATGTGTGTGTGTGTGTGTGTGTGTGTGTAGATCAAGTGTTTACATTGAAGCATATATGTGAACAGTATTTAGATAAAGGTAGGGAAGTTTTTATTGCATTTATGGATTTAGAAAAGGCATATGATAGAGTGGATAAGGAGCAATGTGGCAGATGTTGCAAGTAAAATGGTGGGTTGGTAATTTTTTAAACCCTGAAAAAGTTTTTTTAATAAAGGATATTGAGGCTCAGGTTGGGGGTTTTTAGAAGAGGGGAAAGACTACTTCCCCCCCCGGTAAAATTAGGTTTTAAAGACGGGGATGTGTAATGCCCACCATGGTTGTTTAAAAATTTTTTATAGATGGGTTTGTAAAGGAAGTAAATGCTAGGTTTTTATAGTGGGACTTGAGTCCGGGAAAGGGGGAATCCCAATGCCCATTTTAAAAAAGGAGGGGTTTGGGATTTTGGGGGGGGTTTGGAGGGATATTTTTGTGTATCTTTATACGAATGCTTCAAAACCCTTTTTGTTTTCGGGAGCACCTCTGAAAAAAGCAGTGATAATTTTGGGGGAGTGTGGTGAAAGTTTGTTAAATGATGATAAAAAGTATTTTCTTTTTGGGTTTTTTTCTTTTTTTTTTTTGGGTCCCCCTTTGGGCCCCCCCGGGTGGAGACGACCAACTTGTTGAAAAAAAAAAAAAAAAAAAAATAATATATATTGTCCTGGCTTTTAATTTAAAAAAGCTGAAGGGGGTGGGGAGTTTCAGTGGAGAGGAATAAATGGGATTAGGTCAGGGGTTTCAAATAGAGTTAGACTAAAAAGGATAGCAATAATTTGGGGATAAGCTAGGCAGGAAAAGAGGGACTAAAATGTAAAATTCAAGGATTATGGGGGAGTAAAAAAAGATTGGTGTGAAAAGGGGGTTATAAAAAGCGGGGTATGAAACCTGGAGAAGAGAGAATTTTAGGGGAAAGGGAGAGGGGTTTGGGGGAAATTTTTGATAAATTTGCGGGGGGATTTTGAATAAAGGTGAGAGAAAGGGTGGTTGGGGATTTAAATTTGCTAAAGTGGGAAAAAAATTTTTAGGGAAAGGGAAAAGAAGGTAAATTTGGGGGCCGGGGGTAAATGAAAAAGGGGGAAACCCTTTTAAATTTGAGCTAGGGTTAAAAGAAATTTGGAATAAAATACATATTTTATGAAAAAGAGGATAAAAAATTTCAAGGTAAAGTTGGGCACAAAATGAAAGAAATTTTTTTTTAATTTATTTTTATTGGTGGAAAAAAGGGTTGAGGGTGGGGCCCAAAGGATGAACATGTTTTTTTAGAGGGCAACGGGAAATATCGGATCATTTTTTTAGTTGTACCCTACAGTTAGGTAAGGGTAGATAAAAAAAGGGGAAAGGTGGCAACAACAAGTAAGAGGGAGGTAAAAAGTGAATAAACTAAGGGAGGGGGAATTTTCGGGTGAGATATAACCGACTATTGGCAGAAGGGGGGGCCTAGTGCAAAGATGATTTAGGGGGGGGGTTTTGAAGGGGGTTTTGGAAATTTTTTTTTAAAAAATGCAGTATTAAAAATGGGGGGCAAAAATTTTGGGTTATAGGAGGGGGGGGGCGGGAGGAAAGAGGATTTGATTGGTGGAATGATAAAGTAAAGGGTGTGATAAAAAAAGAAAAAGGTACCCTTATGAGGGTTTTTACAAAGCAAAAAGTGTTTAAGAAAAACAGAGTATAGGGAGAGTAAAAGAAAGGTAAAGAGGTGGTGAGAGGGGTTCAAAAGGAAGCAGATGATAGAGGGGAAGGCACTGTCAAGAAATTTTAATGAAAATAAAAAAAAATTTTTGGGATGAGTTAAACAATTTAAAAAACCCTGGGGAAAATATGGTTTTCCCCCATTTAAAAAACAAGGGGGGAAGTTAGAAAGATGGGAATGGAGGTTTTGGGGTAGATGGCGAGAATATTTTGGGGGAATTTTTTAAATTTTAAAGGGAAGAAAAAAAGGGCAGTAATTTAAATGCACTGGTCGGGGAGGTATACCTCTTTTTAAGGAGTGAAGAAGAGCAAAAATGTAAGTGTGGGGGGGGTACGTGACTTTACGTAAAA